CTAGGCACATCATACATAGCAAACCTTTTGGATAACCAAACAAGGACAAAATCTTAGAAAAGCCAGAGGGAGGAAATGACATTTTATAGCAACATCAAAAATACTAAACACCTAGGAATAAATATAATGATATACATGAAAGAATTATATACTGAAAACTATAAAATCTTATTGAGGGGTGCCTGGGTGGCTCAGTTGTTAAGCATCTGCCTTCGGCTCAGGTCATGATCCCAGGGTCCTGGGATCGAGCCCCGCATCAGGCTCCCTGCTCTGCAGGAAGCCTGCTTCTCCCTCTCCCACTCCCCCTATTTGTGTTCCTCCTCTCGCTGTATATCTCTCTGTCAAATAAATAAATAAAATCTTAAAAAAAAAACCTATTGAAAAGAAATTAAGGGAAAGAATAAATAGATGAAAATAAATGAAGGACAATTAAATAAGGAAAAATATTCACATTAATTGATTAAAATATTTTATACTGTAAAGATATCAATTCTCCCCAAACTGATCTACAGATGCAAAACAATCCCATTCACAATTGCAGCAACTTTTTTGGTGAAAAATGATAAATGATTTCTACAACTTATAGGCAATGCAAAGGGTCAACAAGAGCTGAGGCAATTTTGAAAAAAATAATAAAGTTGTAAGACTTATGCTATCTCAGACCAAAATATCTATTATAGTTATAATAATTAAGAAGTATGGTGCTGACACAAAGATTGACAATCAGAAAACTAAAACAAAGAATCTATACCTATACTGTCCCATATGGTAGCCACCAGACACGTGGCTAAATCTAAATTAATTAAAATTAGTTAACATATGAAATTCAGTCCTTAGTTACACTTGCCATATTTCAATAACTCAGCAGTCACATGCGGCTACTGAATTAAACAGCATATATATGAACATTTCCATAATGGCAGAAAGTTCCATTAGACAGCACTTATCTAGAAAGACACACATAAAATTATATGATTTATGGCAAAGGTCTAATATAGTAGGGAAAAGTTAGTCTTTCCAATAAATTGTGATGGATCAATCAGACACCAATAGACAAAAGTAAATAATACAATAATAAATATATAATCAACTCTGATCCCCACCTTATACCACATACAAAACTCAATTCTAAGTGGAATGTAGACTTGAATGTAAGAAATAAAACAGGGATGCCTGGATGGCTCAGTCGGTTAAACGTCTGCCTTCAGTTCAGGTCATGATCCCAGGGTCCTGGGATCGAGACCCACATTGGTATCCTTGCTCAGCTGGGAGCCTGCCTCTCCTTCTGCCTGCCGCTCCCCCTGCTTATGCCTCCTCTCTCTCTCTCACTCTCTGACAAATAAATAAACAAAATCTTAAAAAAATTAAAATTAAAAAATTAAAAATAAAACAATAAAGTTTTTATTTTTTAATTTTTTAATATTTTTAAAGATTTTATTTATTTATTTGACAGAGAGAGACACAGCAAGAGAGGGAACACAAGCAGGGGGTATGGGAGAGGGAGAAGCAGGCTTCCCGTGGAGCAGGGAGCCAGATGAGGGGCTCGATCCCAGGACCTGGAATCATGACCTGAGCCAAAGGCAGACGCTTAATGACTGAGCCACCCAAGCGCCCCAAAACAATAAAGTTTTTCGAAGACATAGAAAATAAACTTCACAACCTTGTAGTAGACAAAGTTTTGTAAAATAAGATGCAAAAAGTGCCAGCCATAAAATACAATACCAATAATGAGTATTTAAGATACATTAAAACTGGGGCGCCTGGGTGGCTCAGTTGGTTAAGCGACTGCCTTCGGCTCAGGTATTGATCCTGGAGTCCCTGGATCGAGTCCCGCATCAGGCTCCCTGCTCAGCAAGGAGCCTGCTTCTCCCTCTGACCCTCCCCCCTCTCATGTGCTCTCTCTCTTTCTCTCTGTCTCGAATAAATAAAATCTTTAAAAAAAAAAAAAATTAAAAAAAAAAGATACATTAAAACTGAGAACTTTGCTTATCAAAAGAGATCAGTGAGAGAGAGAAAAGGAAAACTGTAGCCTGATAAATTTTATTTGCAACATATATATCTGACAAAAAATTTGTATCCAGAATATAAATATGACAAAACACTCCTAGAAAACAATTAGGCAAACAACCTGGTAGAAAAATGTATAACATATGAACAGACACTTAATAATAAAGGACGACAGAATGGCTAATAAGCATACGAAAAGGTGTTAAATTTCATTTGTTATCAGAAAAGTGCAAATGAAAACCTAAATGGGTATCATTATATACTTGCCAGAATACCTAAAATGAAATTAAAGATAGGCAATAAGAAGTGTTGGTGAAGATGTGATACAGCTGGCTCTTACACATTATTGATACAAGAATTGGTACACTTTGAAAACTGTCTGAGTTATTGGTTGAATTATGTCCCCACAAAACTTATATGTTAAAGTTCTAACACCCCGTGCCTCAGAATGTGACCTTATTTGGAAACAGAATCGGTGCAGATATTATTAGTTAAAATTAGATTATTAAGGTGGGCCTTAATCCAATAATGACTGGTGTCCTTAAAGAAAGGGAATAGACATGAATAGAGAGAAGATGATGTGAAAAGACATTGGAAGAAGACAGTGTTCTACAAATCATGGAAAGAGACCTGGAACAGATCCTTCCCTCACAACCGTAAGTGGGAATCAACTCTTTTTTACACCTTGAATTTGGACTTCTAGACTCCAGAAATGTGAGACAATAAATTTCTGTTGTTTAAGTCACCCAGTTGTGGTATTTCATTATGACAGCCCTGGCAAACTAATATAGGAAGTTATTTACTTGTAATATATACAGATCTTATGACACAACAATTATACTTCTTGGTATACACATGACAGAAATATATGTGTATGTATGTATTTACCAAAAGATTTGTATAAGAATGTTCATAACATTATTATTTGTAAAAGCCCCAAACTAGTAATAATTCAAATATTCATCAACAGTGAATGAATAAAAAAAATTATGGTATATTTACACAGTGGAATTTTATATGAGAATGAACCAACTACAACCACATGCAGTAACAAGAAAGAATATCACAATGATGTTGAGCAAAAGAACTCAGACACAAAAGATACATATGGATGATTACAATGATACAGTCAAATATATAAAAGTAATCTGTAGATTGAGAAGTTAGGGTAAGTAGTTACCTTTGGAGAGGAAGGAGGCAGTAGTGATTGGGAAGGGGCAAGAGAAAGGTTTCTGGGATGCGGGTAATGTACTATTTCTTGATCTTGGTGATGGTGATACTGTAAAAATTTTTCAAGTTGTACACTTATAATCTGCATACTTTTTTCCATATATTTTATACATCATTTCAAAAAATTCTTTAAACACTGAATAGGTAAGTTAAATGGATTAGAATAACTAAATCGTGATCTTTTATTTTTAAAAAGAGATCTTTAAAAGTAGCCATATTGTAGCAGAGATAGACACAGAAAATATAAGACACGTTAATGGAAGCATAAGATAGAGTGAAAAGGTTAAGTTTAAGTCTAATTGACGTTGCAGAAGAAGAAAATAAACAGAATGAGTACGAATCAATATTTAAAGAGATAGGGGTGCCTGGGTGGCTCAGTTCGTTGAGCGTCTGCCTTCCACTCAGGTCATGATCGTGGGGTCCTGGGATGGAACCCTGCGTTGGGCTCCCTGCTCAGCAGGGAGTCTGCTTGTCCCTGTGCCTCTGTCCCCTACCACCGCTCATGCTCTTGCTCTCAAATAAATAAATAAAATCTTTAAAAATAATTTTTAAAAATAGATAATAGCTGAGAATTTTCCAGAATCAACATGACATAAATTCCAGATTAAAAAATGCACAATAATCTCAAGGAGAATAAACAAAAAGAAAACCACACTGAATAAATTATTGTGATACTGCAGAACTCCAAAGACCAAGAGAAAATCTTAAAATCAGATACAGAAAAAGATTGGATCCAATCAGAAAACACAGATAACCTACAAAGAATGAAAATCAGACTGATCACTTCTTTTTTTAAATTTTCAAACTGACAGAAAATCCAAAGAGAATACTATAGCGAGCACCCTTAACCACTCACCAGCTTCAGTGTTAACATTGTGACTGACTGACTCAAAGTTTATCTAAACATATATATGTCCTTTCCTTTTGGGAAAATATAGAAAGTGGCTGCTATCACAATTCTTCATCCCAAATTCTTTATCATGCACTTTCCAAGAACAAGAACATTCAACTACAACATCATTACCTCACCCATGATAACTGACATTAATTCAATAACACCACTCTAAGAGAGCACAGATGAAATTTTCCTAGTTATCCTAATATGTCCTCTAAAGCTTTTTTTTACTTATCCAGGATCTAATCAAGATTTATGTATTACTTTCAGATGTTTTAACTTTTCGGTCTCTCAATTTAGGACATTCTCATCACTTCCCTTGGTTTTTCATGACACTGTATCATTTGAAGAGTTCAGGTCAATTGTCCTAAAAAAACATCTCACATTCTGAGCTGGTTGACTGTTTCCCCATTATCAACAGGACAAGTATTTCCAGAAAGAAATGTTGTATAACTCCTGTGCAGCACATTATGCCTATAGCTGCCCCACTATTGGTTATACTAAATGAACATTTTGTAATTTTCTCTTTGTAATCAGTAAGTCAACTGCAAAGTAAGTTTTTGAGACTCAAGAGCATACTTTTTAATGGCAACCATGAAAGACATAAGTCAATAGGATACAACCTTCCACGTGCTAGGAAAAAAATGGCTATTAATATAGAGCTGTATTGTCAACTAAAATATAATTCAAGAAGGCAAAATGAGGTATATCCTAAAATTATTTCAAGATACAGTAAAAAAAATTAATAGGAAGACTATGTACACACACACAAAACTGGTTTGCACAAACTTTTGTTGTTTTCTTTTTTATAATATATACACACTCCAAAATTAAGTATTTTTAGCATGTCTTGAAAAAAGTACTTTACCTGCCATCTCTTCTGAGGGCAAAAGCAATGCCATCTTTCTGGAAAGGAAGCAGCTTTGCTCTTAGTTTGTCAGGCAAAAAATCCAACTGTTTATAAGAATCTTCATTTGTCAAACAAGAAATCTGAGGTGTAAGAGACTTTTTTATCTTATGAACTTTAGGCATCCTGATCCTAAAAAAAAAGAAATCACAAAAGAGGAGGGGTAGGGAAATAGTTATTACTGAGTGTATTAGAGAATTAAACATAAATAATAATAAAGTACTCACCATTAGCTTTGATATACTATCTACATAGATATAAATTGGTTACATCACAATCCAAAATGAGCTATTAAGAAAATTCAAAGCACTAAGTCCAAAAGCAATTACTTAGTGCACAATTCAGGAACTCAGCACCCTTTATTTCATTTATATTTCAAATTGAACCGTGACATAACCATTATCCTGTTTTAAGCAATAAATGTTTCACTGAAAGTTTATAAATCAGCCAGATTTTTAAGACTAAATAATTTTTTAAATAAGGAATGATTTGCTACAGAAAGAGGAATTCTTTTCTAATTAATCCTTTTGTAGATGTACATTTTCATATCACACCAAATTTTCTAAGAATGGGATAAAACTGCATTTCAAAAATTACAAAATACAAAGATATTAACTCCAAATTTATAATTAAATCAATATTAAATGAGATTCATTTTTAAATATTAAAATGAATTCTTTTAAATCAAATGAATACACAGTATAAACTCTGCCTGACTGGCACCTCCCTCACCCCTGGGTTTCCACAGATGTCAATTTAATTTTCTATATGAAAATTTCATATATTTGTAAATTCTCAGAGCTCTGCAAGAAAAAGTCCTATTAAATCACTAAACTATAAAACTTCTTTAATAATACTTTGTATTTAGATTGCACCTTTTCATCTGTTTATGTGTAATCTCACTTCATCTTTAAAACAAATTCGCTTTTTTCTCAATTGCTTGCAGACTTATAAAATTTTACCCCACCCAAAAAAAAATAATCAACCTCTGTATCCAATGTCTAAGAATCTCAAGAATTCAGTGCGTATTTGTTAATAAATAGATATTACATGCCAGGATCTAGAGAAGCAAGGACCATACCCTCACAGAGCTTACATTCTTTTTTTTTTTTTAAGATTTTATTATTTATTTGAGAGAGAATGAGAGATCACATGAGAGTAGGGAGAGTCAGAGGGAGAAGTAGACTCCCCACCGAGCAGGGAGCCCGATGTGGGACTCGATCCAGGGACTCCAGGATCATGACCTGAGCCGAAGGCAGTCGCTTAACCAACTGAGCCACCCAGGCGCCCAACAGAGCTTATATTCTTAAGGGGGAGACTAAAAATAAATAAATAAATGATTAATTACAGTATAGTGTAAATATTATGAAGGAACTTAAGATCGTAATGACCAATTTAGGTAGGCTGACCAGGTAAGGACTCTCCTAGATGATGCTTACTCCATAGACTGAAGGGTGTGAAAGAGTCAACCAAGTTCAAAACTGAGAGAAGAGCCCTCCAGGCAGACAGCATCAGCGGAAAGGCTCCAAGCTGAGAAAGGGTTGAGTGATCTTTAGAAACAGAAAGGAGGCCAATGTGGCTGAACCAAGGGAGAGAATAGTATGAGATGAAGCTATTGAGATAAGCAAGAGTAAAATCATAGAAGGCCCTGATAAGGGCTTTGGATTCTATTTTAAGAATGAAGGGGAGCCAATCCAGCTCTGCCATCCAAAACACTATTAACCAGAAGTGGCTATTTAAGTTAAAAATTAAAACTCCAGGCATGGTGTGAAGAAGAGACAAGAATGACCTCCGGACAGCCAAAGCCCATGCCACTATATCTCCGCGTCCAGTACCACCGTCACCACCATGCCCAAGAGAAAGGCTGAAGTGGATGCTAAAGGAGATAAAGCTAAGGTGAAGAATGAGCCATAGAGAAGATCTGCAAAGTTATCTGCTAAACCTGCTCCTCTAAAGCCAGAGACCAAGCCTAGAAAGGCCCCCGCAAAGAAGGGAGAGAAGGTACCAATGGGCAAAGATTGGGGATAACCCTGCAGAAAACAGAGATGCCAAAACCTCATACCATTAGTTTAGGGTGGAACACTAGCAAGAAGCTCAGAAAAAAAAAATACAAAAACCATTTTACTGTCTATTATCTTTGCTTTCTTTACATTGTAAAAATTTTTAACGAACACCAAGAAAAAAATACCTGCTAAAATGAGGTCATACTGCAACTTATCTGAGTTATTTTAGTAAGACTGAATCAAGCACTACATTTGTAAAAATAAACAATGAAACTAAAGCCATCTTAATAAAAAAATTGTTTTAAGAGAGTCACAAATAAGAGAAAAAATATAGATGAAGATTAAAAAAGTCTACAATAGTACAAAAATGTTTAGAAAACTTTCAATTGAACTAAAATTGTGGTATGTCTGCTTCACTGATGATTCAAATAGGTATTTAGATACATAAAGAACTTAAAAATAAGTAGTGGTACGATTAATTAATAACACAGGGATATTTCAGTTAATATTCAAAATAAAATAATTTTAAAATACCCTTTCCCACTTATACTATAGAAAGTCTAAAAATTATATTATAATAAAAAATACCTCATTTAGGTCAGTCATATAGAGGTCAGGTGTAACCAATATTGTGTTAATAAAGGAAGACTTGGGCTTCATCTTCTCTCTAACTTATCAAGAAACTAATACTAAGTGTGTATGTCTATCTAATCATGAAAAGTACAGAGAATTTAGTTCAGAAATTTAGGAAAAAGTTTTATTCATTGTATACATACAACTTTATTTTTTAGTAAGATTGGGGGAGCTGGTAAGATGGAACCAAGAATATTTACCTTTTAATACCATGTTATTAAAATTATCAAAATTAAAATCATTGGCTAGGGAAGTTTAGTAAAAGCAAAATCTAGCAGAACTCATTTTCTAAGCAATTCTCTTGATAAACAACACTTGAGAAGTGAATAAAGGGAAGTTTTCATTTTCAATAGTTTATTTAAGATCAAGATGGCATTTTTATAATCAATTGGGAACAAGATAAATTCAAATGGAATTTACTGATACATTCCTAAATAAATATTAGAATCGTGTTGAGGAGAATCAGCTATTGTTGAAATATAGTACTAATAAATTTATTTGGAAATAAAAACCAAATGGCTGCTCAGAGATATTATAGACTTTGAGGAGATAATTTTGTTATTTTTATTTTTTTAATTAAGGATTTGTTCAATGAGGGATGTGTGGCTGGCTCAGTCAGTGGAGCATGCAATTCTTGGTTGGAGGGTTGCAATTTCAAGCCCCACGCTGGGTGTAGAGATTACTTAAAAATAAAATTTAATGTATAGGGCACCTGGGTGGCTCAGTCGTTAAGCATCTGCCTTCAGCTCATGTCATGATCCTGGGGTCCTGGGATCGAGCCCCACATTGGACTCCCTGCTCCACGGGAAGCCTGCTTCTCCCTCTCTCACTCCCCCTGCTTGTGTTCCCTCTCTTGCTGTGTCTCTCTCTATCAAATGAATAAATAAAAAATCTTAAAAAAATTTAATTTAATTTAATTTAAAAAAAGAATTTGTTGGATGAAATAAGCAGTAGATATAGATACAGACAAAAAGAGAATCAGTGAATAGAAGACACATTAAATAGAAATGAAGTAAAATGCCAATTAAAAGAAAAAGATTATCATACTGGACTTAAAAATCAGTATCTATATGCTGCTTTAAAAAGACACATCTTAAACACTGAATGGAAAAGAATGAAAAAAGACATATTATGCATATGAAAATAGAGCTGGTATAGTTTTATTAACATAAGGCAACAAATTTTTTTTTTTTAAAGATTTTACTTATTTATCTGAGAGAGAGAATGGGAGACAGAGAGCATGAGAGGGGGAGGATCAGAGGGAGAAGCAGACTCCCCGCTGAGCAGGGAGCCCGATGTGGGACTCGATCCCAGGACTCCAGGATCCTGACCTGAGCTGAAGGCAGTCGCTTAACCAACTGAGCCACCCAGGCGCCCCTAAGGCAACAAATATTGGCTAAAAGGCATTATTAGAAATAAAGGGTATTTTATAATGATAAAAGGTTTAGCTTACTAAAAACATAAACACTGCCTTAAAAATATATAAAAAATAAAATGCAAATACACAAAAACAAAAGGAAAATCTGAGAAAGGAGAATAGCCAAATCTATAATTACAGTGGAAAATTTTAATATATTTCTTTCAGTAATTGATTGTATAAGCAGATTAAAAATAGAAAAAGGATATGGAAGATTTGAAGAACCCAATATACAAACTTGAGCCATTTAGTGAATGACAGATGTATTCCTTTCAAGCTCATTCTATGAAGCCAGCCTAAACTTGATTGTAGAAGCTGCTTTTTTTTTTTTTTTAAAGATTTTATTTATTTATTCATCAGAGAAAGAGCACAAGCAGGGGAAGCAGCAGGCAGAGGGAGAAGCAGATTCCCTGATGAGCAAGGAGCCTGATGCGGGACTCGATCCCAGGATCCTGGGATCATGACCTGCACCAAAGGCAGACATTAACTGACTGAGCCACCCAGGCGTCGGGTAGAGGCTGCTTTTAGACAACAGGCTTGAGCAATGAAATGTAGAGCAAGGCAAAAGAGCCCACAGCGACCACCTAGCTGAATACAGACAGGCCCATCAGGAAACCCACCTCAAAATATCCATAAGCCCTAACTGACCAATGGAGTACTAACAAACACACATTTACCAAAAAAGGGAAAATTCCATATATCCCAATACCTCCTCACCTTCCCCCTTTAAAAACAACCCTCAACCACTGCCTCATTGCAGTCTCTCCTCTGCTGTCCTGCCCCTTGCTCTCTTGTGGTATATTTAATAAACTTCTATCTCCTTTGTCCCGCCTCAGGTGAATTCTTTCCCCACCCATACCAAAAGCCCCCACCCAATCTTCATCACCCCACATTTGAGGGCCCCCATCAGGTTGGGAGAAACACAGTGATCTGACAAACACAATACAAACATACCACATGTGAGCACACACACACACACAAGCCATTTTCTCATATTCATGGGTAAACAAAATATTAGCAAACCAAAGACAGCAATAAATTAAAAGCCTAAAATACCAAGACATGTAAAATGGGCTTAT